GATGTAGAAGAATTAGTGAAATAATAAATACAATCATTAACAAAAGAATTACAAGTGAGATTACCATTTATAATTAATTTGAATGGTTTATTTGATTGATTTGATAAATGTTTTAATATATTACTTCCTTCAATTTCTAATGTATTTTTGTTGAACTGTATTTAAATTGTGATCTAATACCTGATTTTCTAATATTTGTAATTTCAAAATTATTAAATTTTATCATTTGGCTGTACTCGTTGTTTGATGCAACTGAACCTATTATTAATTTAACATTATCATCAACATTAATTTGTTTAGCAGACACAAAGTTATATAATGTAATTTCATGGTCAATATGAAGAATTGTATTGCTTATATTAACCATGTTAAAATTTACTGATTTTAAACTTGATTCAATATTAAGAGTACATTCAGTTTCATCATTACATGGACAATGTGGATAATTAAATGGATAATTACTTCCTGGATATAATGGTGGTAAATAATCAGGACTAATTATTGTACAAATAATATTTTTATTTAATATAATTCCATTTGGACAAAATCTCATTAATTTCTTGTTTGATAGTAAATATGCTATACCATATGTCATTTTAAGTCCTTTATCAAAGTCTTTTTGTAAATAATGATTATCTGAGTTTTTATCAAAATCAAGTGAATTGTTATTATTAAATGACATCACATCAAAACATTGTTTGTTATCCCTTGGATTTATAATTTCAAATCCGTTAGATGTTGTATTTGGTTTGTAAAGATGTATCATGTTACTATCCCAAATAACTAATTGAGTTTGATTTAATGATGGGGCTGTTTTAAATTTAACTAGTCGTTGAAATGAAAGACTGCCATACCACATCACCTTTGAATTAGCCCCAAAAATAAATTCAGTGTTTGATTCTAAATTAGCATGAAATTCAATTTGAGAGTTTTCTAAAAACTCTACAGTAGACACATTTATCCAATGATTTCCTGTATTTATTATAGATAAACTACCCTCGAAAGTCATACTTTTACAACTTATGACATTTGCTGAAAAAGTATAATCACGTGTAAAGAGATATGAGTAGTTTTTTATTTTATCAAACTCCTTACAATGGGTTGGCATTGTTTGAGTTTGACTAATAAATTCAACAACACCATCTGGATTAGTTGTAATACAATCATATTTCTTACCAATAACATAGTTAACAAACAATAATATATCAATTAATAACATTAATGAATTATAAAGAATATGATATTATAAGATTTAAATTTTAGTATAAAACTTCTTTTTTTCCAGTAGTTAGATATGAACATTCTACTGAATCATTCTATTTTTGTACCGACTATAAATAGAATATTAAATAATACAATAAAAGATAAATTCTTTTACTATTCAAATCTAACATGAAACTAAATACTCTAAAACTAAAGATGAAATGATAAACTTTTCCTTCTTCAAAAAAAATTAACACTTCATAAGATTGTAATACTACATTCTTCTGTATTTTTTTGGTTATTAAATCAAATTTAAATTTGTAAAAGTTGTTAAAAAACAAACCATGATTCAAAAACAAACCGGAACAAGACAAAAAAAGAAAAAACGTTATAGTGAGATTTTTTTGTATAAACCATAATTAATTCTTTCTTAATTTGGATTAAAATCGTTTTCCATAAATTAATCCTATTCCAATAAAATACAATTTAATTAAATTCTCTTTGATATAACATTAGGTTAAACTGTTGTTATTATTTTTAACAAAGTATCTTTTTAATTATTTTATAATAGGTTGGGTTGTTAATAATGAATAAACCACAACTATAATTCAAGTAAGATAAAGAAGAAAATAGTCTTGAAGCAAAAACAAACTGTAATAATATTTTTTTAAGAAATGAATATTGATTGACTTATTACTCATTTAAAAAGGATACCATTTTCATAAATAGTTTTAACTTATTCAATGAATATATGTCTAGAAGCATATCTAAAAAAATTATAATATGAATATTAAGTCTATAATAAAATATATTCATAACTTCCGTTTATTCCATTTTTATTGAAACTCTTAATTTTTATTTTAAACCTATTTCACTCAAAACAATTGACAAAACATCACCTTTAAGTTATGAGACACAGTGTATAATATTCTTTGATTTGAATAAATTATGTAAATTATTAAAAAAGTTAATCACTAAGATATTTAAAAAATAAAAAGAAAATATTCCTCTTTTTATTGCTAGGATTTAACTTTCATTTGAAACAATCACTTTTGAACTAAAAAGTTAATGTTTCATTAATCTAAAGACTGAGACAAAGACTTTGTATAATAAAGTTTTGTTTAACTAATTTAGTACTAATCAATAATATAAGACTTTAGTTGTTTTCTTATTGAGTTAGTGCTATAATTCTTTCTTTGTTTTTAGAACCTAAAAACACTTAACATTATTCTCTGTTTTAAAAAAACTATTTTTTATAAAAGAATTGTTCTTTATGACTTGTTTGTTCTATCAAATAAAAAGTTATGTGTTTTATCATAGAATTATTTTTGGACTTTTTTAATACTCACCAATATTTTTTTAAATAGATGTTTATTGGTAATTATCTTGACTAAATCATAAGTTGGTAGTTTTTTTATTGAACAATATTGAAAAAAGAATGAAAATCTACAAAAAAATATATCTCTAAACCTAAAATTCTCAATGAAAAAGTTATTTATTAATTTTTGTAGAAGAAAAAGACGTACAAAATCAAAAAAACAACGAAAAAATAGGAAAATTTGAATGCAACAAAATGAGCAGGAAGCTATTGAAGGTATTATTGAATGTCGAGGTTATAGAATATTCTATTTATTAGTAGTTGGTGTTAATAAAAAATAGCACTATTATGCAAGTCACACAACATTTTATGAAAAGTTAAAAAGTTGTAAGTATTTTATTCCATGTTAATGTAAAAAAAAACAATAAAAAGAATATATTAATCAATTGATTATATTGTATTGTTTAAAATAGTCTAAATTCAAAATGTG